CCAAGTGCTTGCTCAAGGGGGATTTGTTGGGTTTTCCCTATGTAATAATATTGATAACAGTAAGGTCTAGACCTTACTTTGTAAAGTGTCCTGAGATGACTTTTGTTGTGATTTGGCGCTATACAAATAAAATTTGATTTGATTTGATGTGCACAGACTGCTGCTTGATAAAAAGGCAACGTTATGCGCATGTAATGAAAACGGTAATTGCGCAGGTAGGAAATTAGGAAACACAGACTCGCTACTTACACCACATGCCATGTTTTTGTTGAAAGATAGGGCCTGGATCCACACAAACACCACTTGCACCAATACATCTTGATCAGAAGCTGTGGACTATCAAAACAGGGTGCATAGAGTATATACACACAAGCCACTGGTTACCTGTGCAAGAATTTAAAAAGAGCTAGATGAAACAACATCAAAGCCCAAAAATTTAGTTTTACAAAGCTTGTCAGTCCCTGTCCTCTATTAAAAACAAAAACCAAAACAAAAAAACACCTTAGTGTGATGACAAAGAACATGAATTCCCAAAAGACACATACATTTAGTAACTCGAGCTACATCTGCTGACTTTTAATACCCACTCACCTTTGAACAGCTGATGTAAATTATGCATAATAGATCAAAATAATTTATGCATGACCCCAAAATATATTGTTTAGAAAAAAAAGGCTTTGACTTTCACTTCTGGAATGAGACGATAAATGCTACTATGAAGTGACCAGGCTAAAGAAAAGCACAACAAAAGTTATTTTTGCTAATGATTTGGTGGCAATGTTGACATGTCGTTGTCAGTATTGTGAATTTATGTCTCATAGTTTCGTATTGTATTAGTACCCATCTGTTGGACATTAACTGGACCACAGAAAGGAGTCACTGCACCTCTAATGAGACACATCAGCAGCTAAGGTGCTGTTTGACTAAACAGTATATCAAAGTTATCCTACACCTCATATAACAGAATCTCTTCTCCTCTACTTGCTAAATCAGCCATCTAGTGCAGTACAGTGGTAGCTCTTATCTAGCATTGCCCAGCAGAAACATCTTGGAGATAATTTTTTTTTTGCCCCCCTCCCTGCAACCCAATGAAAACTTATAAAGACATTACAGCCTCTCTGACTCATCAGCTAGAGAAACCATGTTATTACACATTTCACTTGGAATATGACAAGATACACATTCAAACAAAGGCTGCATTGCATCTCTAATCAAACAGCCTGTTTTCATTGACTGCTTGATATCACACTGTACAAGGATCAGCCATGGAGACCACAGCCTATCTTTGGATTTTATTTGTTCTTCAACTTCCCTCTCATTATTTATTCACACTCAAACTTTTTATATTTATTTATGTATTTATTTTAGGTGTGGATGTGCAATTGAATCAAAGCAGTGTTTGCCCTTAAATCTGTTATTTTCCAGCTGCTCTCTAAAACAGCATGCACACATACAGTATACTATACATGTGGATTATCAATAATACTGTAGGTTAGTGCTACCAAGACACAGACACGCACATCACCTTCTTCATAGCACTGTTGTTAAACTAAGTTCTACTTGGGTGATTATTATCAGTTTTTACTCTAAATGAATGATGAATCCAGCTGATAATGTTTTTGTTAACACAAACAAACTAAAAATAGCTGTCAAAAAAAAGGCCTGTGTGTAGAAGACTTAATTTGAACACTCCTTTAAAAAAGCAGAACGTATTTTCATTTTGTGCCAACAGGTTTTTCCTGAAACTTAGCATGTTATCATTTACTTTTCAAGTAAAGTTAAATTTCTCTTCTCATCTTCTAAATGTTGCTCTTACAAAAAAAATAAATATCATATGTCATACAGATCAGCATGTGGTCTGATTAGTTAAATACGTTTCTGTGATATTAATCTCTGTGGTGTGTCCTGAAGCAGCAGAACAATTCAAAGGGCTTCACTTTGAAAGTGATGTTACAACACTGTCCAATCTCTGATTTGAAATCTTGCTAAATCCAACAAATGATGTATTAAGCAATATCTAATACTCACAAAGAATGAAACTACCAGAACAAACTTACCTACACATCAACTTTAGCAGTACAGGTTACTCAAAATTTAATGTCATGAGTTAATGAGCATTACCCTCTGAGGGCTTCTCTAAGGCACAGTACACTTTACATGTCCTCCCTTTTCCCCTCATCCACTGTCATCTTCCATCCTCATGTGATTCACATTTTATGCATGTGACTCTTAAAGTTGTTTATCTGCCACGGCAATTCTGTCTCAGAGAAAGATGTTAGTTGAATCAAGAGAAATAAACAACTGAGAAGAACCTTACCTGGCCCCGAGTACTATGTCCTGTGGATGTTTGTACACTGTATGTTGCAGAGGTGGAATGTAACTAAGCACACTTACTCAAGTACTGTACTTAAAGAGCCCATGGCATGCTTTTCCTTGTTTCTGACTTATCTATAATGTTACAATGGTTAATTATCATCTTAGATGTGACCTAAAGCTAAAAAAAACGAGGTGTACAGTACATATGTTCTAGTATTTCTATGCAGAAGCAACTCTGTTTATACACATCTCAAACTCTCTGCTCATGAGATTTTTATCAAATAAAATAAAGTATTAAATGATAGTTTAAGGATCTCCTTCAATGGTCATTATCTCCAGGCAGTCGGCGCATTCATGTAAGCTTGCCTGACATCCACCGTGCCATTGTAAAAGCTGAATTTTTCAACTGCGCCCAGTTTTATGGATATATTTTACCTCATGCTGCTGCACTGTGACCAGAGGATGTGGAGTAAAACACAGGGTCTGAGGTTAGTGCATGTTCAGGAATGTTCCTGTACAGGGAACAGTCGTTTTACCTGACCAGGTCTAACCTAGAAGCAGCCAGCCAGTGAAGCCCCTGTGGAGGTTAGTGATCAGCTCATCAACTCTGGATTCCACCAGAGCTCAGCACCTGTTTGTTTTGACTGCTTGAGGCCAGTGTGTCAGCTGCATGTGAAGTGCTGCAGATTAACGATCCATGATGTTATTGTTGGAGCCTATTGGAATTAGTTTCACTACTTTGGGACTGTATGTGGTCGTGTGGGGGAAGACGCACTGACCACTGGTTGGATTTACTGACCCTGGAGCTACTTGAAAGGGAGTGATGTTTCAACTAGTTAATGGTAAGTTTAAAAAACACACGAATGTCTGTTAATGCCTTGTTTCTGTAACAGAGAGAATTGTTGTAAGGCTGGAGAAGTTACCATATATGCAATATGGCAGTTAAAATACAGGGTTTCTCAAATACCCGCTTTGTTTAGAGTGTTTTACACATCTCTTTTCATTGGTGTATATATACACACACCGTTGTTTACATATCTACGGAGGAGAAATTCAAATGAATTAATGGCGTCACAGTTCGTTGTGCTGTCCACTTGCGACACAACACCGGCAGCAAGAGTTTTGCGCGTTCACAAACTATCATCTTGTTTTTATTATTCTGAAATCATTTTTGGAATTATGAGGGGTGCCAAGCTAAATTAGAGGTACCAAAGATTAAACATTAAATGGCTGGAAATGAGCAAAATGCGCATGCCATGGCCAATTTAAATAAATACAACAAATACAATGTAAAATAATTGTAAAATTCCCTGACATTTTCTTGAATTCCCCTGAGATTTTATTAAACTACATTAGGCTGCATAATGAACAGCATGTAAAAACTTTTGCAATGTGTAAACACTAAGATATTTAGCTCTCCAACTGGCAAGTACACTGGCTGTAACACAAGTTTCAGAAACTTAAGCAGCCAAATGATAAAATAAAACCTACATGTTAATTCTTAAATGTATAGGTATAGCTTTTATTTATACAGTATATGCATACATACATAAATATATAGGTTTCAGAATTAGAAGTGTTAGAAGTTAAAAATGACTGGAAATAGCAGATTACGCTAATCCAAACAACACATAACCACATATCAGTATTTGTTTTCCTCTTTAAACAGGTCATACATTAAGGAGCTGCCACTGTACTTTAATAAACATTTTAGCTGCACAGTTAGCTACACAGCAAAATTTAGTAATAAATCTTTTCTATGTAGGAACTACTCTATGTGATGAAAACTGTTTTGATATAGTGATGCGTAAATCCACTTAAAACGCCACTGATTACAACAAAGCCTTGTCATAGTCAGTGGGTTTTCTGAACTTATCTGAACAGTGCAACACTGCTTTGTCTTCAAGTGTGACAGTTTCAGCTCTGGCATCAACCTTTACACAGAAAACAACTATGTATGGCGGTATTCAGGCTGGTTAGCACCACACACACACACACACACACACACACAACAGATGAGTTTTCAGAAACTGATCTTCAAATGCAGCTTGTGATCTTGACTTCTCTGCAGGAGCTCACAGCATATCATATGAAGGTACCTTTATATGAAATATACCAAACAGGCTCTCAGCGTGTAGGTTAAATTAAGCTCATTCGCACGTTTCCTTGGCTACTGACACAGAGGTCAAACCAGTCTTTATTCACATAGTTTTTGTACAACCTTGATGTAATTTATAAATTAAGTCTGTAAGAGGAAGAGATTTTCTAACACTATTAGAATCCAGATCATTCTCTGTCACAGTCCCTTGGTCTCCAATTATATAGTATATGAGTGCAGGTTAATAATACGGTTAGTAAACTGGATAAAAAGGAGTCAGTTGAGTGTCATAAATAAAGTCACTAGCTGAAAAACTGCTGTGAGGAAGATGATTATACTCCTGTGCGGGTGTCCTCTGGTAAGAAACAAATGTCATGTTCAATGACGTGTCACTTTTGAGTGTTGCTGGTCATGGCCAGATGTTGGTGTGCGAGTAGACGAAGCTTGCAGCAGTTGCCTAAACTGTGTCCTCCCCAGCTACTCCCATATCATCCTCGACTCCATGTCTACCCTTCCCTCTCACCTCCAGTCCTCACTGGACGTCTACAGTCATGCCATTGTCAGGGTTGATGGTGAACTGGATTTTACCGTCTGTCTCCTGCTCTTCAAACACTATGACCTGTCATGGAGCAAAAAAACACCAGCTTAGTGAGGTCATGAAAGGACAGCGAAAGCGTGTGGTTGAGCAGCAATGTCAAAGTATGCACACTCACAGAAAAAAGATTTGCAAACGGTAAGAAACGCAGAAATACAGTAGATAGAGCTTCGGGGTTTTTCCAGAAAGTGCTACAGAGGTCGACAACATCGAAGCTACAGTCAGATGTTAGCAACTATACTGTATATTGTAACTGCTGACCTGTATTGTGCTCTTAATTTGCAGTATTAGTGGAGGTGAGAAGCACACAACTGAAGTAACTAGATACCACTCACCCACCACAGTTGCACAGCCTCTTAAATGAGTTATTTCAGTTATATGATAAATAACTACACACAGAATTTTATTAGTTAACATTAAACAACAATAATGAGTATTTTATGAAACAGAAATGCAAAACATTTGCTTGCTCACCAGTATGAGGATGAGATATTTGCTCTTACTTTGAATATCTGGACCTTCAGTATGTGGACTATAACTATTAGGTTTATGGTACATTTTTCATAATTACTTGAGATAGATCTAACCCTTTAAAAGAGACAGGAAGTATGATGATGCTATGAATACAGTGAGTTGCGCAACGTGCTACAACTTTGGCTGCACTTCTTTAGCATATATCTATTTAGGTTTTGGAACTTTAGGCATGTCAAATTAGCTATAAATAGCTCTTTTCTTATTATTAAGAGATAAGCAAGTTAGAATTATGACATCAGGTCGCCAGTTTCTTTTGTGAATGCAATGCACTTCTGTATAGTTCAACAGAAATCACCGAAAACAAAATGGCCACATGATGGAACTATACACAAGAACATTTGACACCAGAGCTGCATTTCATTCTGTGGCCATCCATGCTACAAGCAGTCAGTTTGATAAAAAAAATAATAATAGTAAGCAGATGTACTGTAAGTACAGTATAGATATTACAGACGTACCTGGTTGTCCCCCTTGTGAAGCCATGGACCTGGGACATAGAGAGTTTGCTGAGGACCAGTGGACCAGTAACGTCCAAGGTTCCTGCCATTGATAAACACGACACCTTTGCTCCAGCCCTGTGGACACAGCCAATTACTGTTCACTATGTCAGTAAGTGGGTTCGACCAATGAAATGCTAATGAGTAAAAAGAAACATAGCAAGCCTTCCTTTCCAGTGTGATTTGCTTGTTTTGACCTCCACTGGTCAAGAGGTACTTGACTTATCCAATCAATAACTACACTATGCAGAACTGCATAAAAATGGGATCACAAGCAAAATATCTTCAAGATGTTCTCACTGTCAGACTAAATGAAAGAGATATTAAATTTTATTATTGAATAAAGGTACAGAATGAATTATGCGAGCATCACTAACTAATAATTAATAAGCTAACTGTATATAACGAAGATATGGTTAACTTCTATATGAATCTGGTGTCAAGATTCCTATCAAATCTACTCAATATTCCCATGTTAAGTCATATGAAGACAGTATCCTGAACCCGGACTGTATGAGAAGTATCGGCTCTGCGCTACCAAAATCATAGTAGTATGTGTTATGTTTAGTAGGCACGTCAATTTCAGTCTGGAAGAAATAAAACTTGACATTCAGATCTGATTTAATAAATGTCTACACTTTTTTAGACTTTAATTTTCATTATAAATTTATATGAAGTTGGGCAAAAAAACCACACCTGTCAGGATTAGTCCAATATTAGTCTTGTAACAAATACTACGCCTTAGGACGTTTTCATGTTAAATTTTTTTTTTGTTGTTGTTAAAGAGTTTGTCAAAGAGGTATTCAGTTGACTTAAATGCACATTTTTAAGTCTAGTTTTTCGTGATGCTGTACTAAATCTGAAGCACCACTGACTGTCCAACTCACAGGGAGTTTGATGAAGGTGTCTTTAGGAGAGCTGTTCACATAAAGTCTGGCCAGGAAAAACCCTGGGAAGGAGGGAAGCAGACGCATAGACTTCCAGTGGCCTGAATTCTCAAGTCTGTAAAAGAAAAACACATTGCACCTCTTTTTTTTGTTCAAACTTTTACAGATTACACTTTCCACAGTAAGTTTTATGCTATAAAAGCACAAATTTTCGTTTTTTTAAGAAACTGCTGAAAATGTTCAGAAAAAAATTTGAGCCTTGCTTGTACTGTAGGAGGCCTGTTTATAAGCCAGCAGTATATCATGTCATTCATAAAGTATTTATTTGTCTATAGTAAATGTCAAGTGAAGGTTTAGCAGGGGAAAATATTCAGATTCACTCTCTCTGTTTTGGCTATAGGTTGCATTTTGCCTCCAAGTTAATTCAAAAGGTTGCCATGATATAAGACCAAAATTCTTTCCTCGGTTATAAATTTTAGTGTTTATTCATACACAGCTTCAGGAATTGACATTTTCAGGGTGGTGCTGAGGTCAAGAAATTACAGTAGAAAGTCCACTAAGTAAAAACATATGCCTCTCGTCAAACTAGAAGGTCAGATAATCCAACTTTGACTGTGCAAGAAATACAGTACGGGTTTCATGCAGAGGGTTATCACTATTAAAAACACTTATGAATATAGACTTAGTGATTTGGGAAAGGTTGTAAAAGGTGTAGAAGTCTGACTTCAATCTTATGTGATTAGCAGTGTACAAGAAAGCATTATAATCTAATGTGGAAACATGAGGAGAATGTATTTTCACATTGGGGTGCACTGGGTCCTTTCAAAATGACCTTTTAATGTTTAGCTATAGAGAAATTACTCAACCTAATAGCTACTGTATAATGGGATGGGTGCCGCGTTAAAGTTCTACCATGTTTAACAGTTTGCAAAAGCCATTTAGACAGCCATCAGAATCAAACATATCAAAAGGCAAATGAGTCATAATAGGTCTGCTTTCCTTCAGCCATTCTGTGCTTTATACTTCGTTTAATAAACGTCGCCGCAAACGGCACACAGTCAAATGCTGACTGCAGAATGGCACATGTGCTCTGGTGATATTAAAACAAGTATATAACACACAAGAGTGGGGAAAGCAGACAAATTACAACCCATTATGCTTTTCATACAAACCAATCTAAGCATGTCCCAGAGTACTCACTCAGAGGGTATTACCTTTTCCATTGCACGGCATGTTCTGTGCTTTTTAGCTGGTGATGCATTTGTGTGTACTGGTTTTTGTATGCAATATTTTCATAATGTACTCTTGTATTAAGTCAATGTTGATTCAGTTATCTTATTTCTTCAGTAAATGCCACAGTGTCTTTTTTTTTTTTTTTTTTAAAGATCCCTCTTAAGTTTGGGATAATGTCATTTTCAGTTTTGTGTCCAACACATGGCCTGGCTGTGTGAGCCCATGGAAACAGCTGATATTTTTTGACCCACTCTGCTTTTTCATTCAAACCATCAGACACATTCTGCTAACTGAAATTCTGTGAAATGTTTCTACATTTCCCTTTTTTCATGTGGCATTTTCATTATTTTATCCTCTGGAGCGTAAAAATGGAAAAACATCATCTGCCCACCTTAATTGTAGTGACAAAAGAGGAAAAGGTTTTCCTATCATGTCTCAAACATTGCTGCCAACGGTACAGATTCCAACTGTGTAATTGACTTTGAGAACTGTTTATAATTTAAGATGTTTAACATGAGACACTGATGTGGAAGGTTGTGTTTTGCTTTTGGAATTTGCCATTATATTCCCATTGCACTTGTGTTAAGCAGGGAGGTAATCAGCTGGATTGAATCAGAGGCAAGCAAGTGTAATGATAGAGAAGCACAAACATAGAGGGGAAAGTGGATAATAATTGAAACACAAACCTGTTTACAAAGCCTGCCTTCATATCCAGACTATGAATTATGAAGTCTCGGAGGAGCTGCTTGTTTAACTCGATATCTCCAACAAGACCTGAAAGGTGAGTCAAAGCTGCTTTCAGTTTTCTTATGGATCTTAAGACACTTAATTAGTTTATTTCAAGTGCTATAATGAACATCATCTGGAAAGACTTGTGCTGACTGGAACATCTACAGAAGCATCACTTTATAGAACAATTTGTACCTTTGCGCTGCTCATCCAAGGTGTTCCCATAATTCACTCTTCCACTGTTCTCCACCAGTAAACTTAGAGTTCTTTTTCCCTTCAGTGGGGAAATGCATAAAACATGAGCCATTACTGAAAAAGATCAGTGTTCCTCAATGGAAAGATTTAACAAAAAAAAAAAAAAAAAAACAAAGGAGGCCAAAATTCCTCTCAGCTGGTTTGGTTTAAGTAACGGATCGAAGCTGATTTTTAATCTGAAATTTTCTGCAAGGCTGAAGTTAACTATTCAGATTTTTTTAAGATAAAGAGTCATTTGAAGACTTGCTGTTGAATTAGAGTAATAGTGGTACTGTAGTGCTAAAATCATCAAAATCTTTCTCATCATGCATGTTTTTAAATATTAACAACTTTCTCCTTTTCAAAGAAGCCAGCAGCAGACTGGGTCTACACACAAACACGGCACCTTGCCATCAGGGACTGCCAGTTCTTGTATCTGATAATCCAGAACACCAACAAAATTTCTGTCCACAAAAACCTAGGAGGAAAAAGAAAATGACAATGGAAAAAAATACATACTGAAAACTGTAAATAGCCACAAGTCCAATGTAACCATTTGTGTTGCTAATGTGAATATGTAACAGATAGCAAAGGCTCAGCAGGTGTAACAAACATGTTGCCATCTTATTGATGCCATGCAAAACTCTTGCATTATAAAATTATCTTAACACCTACCCTCAACATGAAGCATAAATGTGTTTGTCTTCACAATAAATGCAGTCGCTCTCAAAAGTTTTTGCACAACTTTTGAGAACTGTAAGCTTTTACAACTATGTAACACTACCACCAGAGCAACTGGTCACAGTCTCATCTTATTAACTGTACTCTGCAAGTACACTACTAAGTGGTGTGATTTCTAACAAACTGATTACAGCTCTCCATGTGCAAATGCTTTCACAAAGGAAAGTGTAAATGTGTGACTGTGGATGCATCATGTCCTCACCAGTGCTCTGTCTTTGACGTTGTTCTGTGAGTTGAGGGCTCCACCACAGGTAATAGTGGTTTCATACAGTGTATAGCCATACGACTGACCGTTGTTATTGTTGACTGGAAGGTTCTCCATGTTTACCGGCTTCTCCGATTTAAAGGGCTAAGAAAATATGCACACCAAGAGCACAGGACAGATTCAAGGTTTGCTGTTAAAATAAATTACCTCTATAAACAGGTGTTTACATGTGCTGCCTAAACCTGTGCTTTTTTTTTTAGAATCATTTTTAAAATTACTTTACATTGGCTGTATTTACAGTGAAAACAATCAGAGACCACTTTCAATGCAGATGGGGTTCTATGATTCCTGCTTTCCACAAGATGGCTTCATCCAAAGAGATGATTTATCAAACCTAATGAAGCTTTCCTGTCTTGCGCTCAGAGCAATTTTTTTTTGTTCAGCAATGTTCTTTTTGCCTACCCTTGGGAGGTGCATTATGCACTCTTCACAAGACAATAAACACCCCCTGCTATGACACGATTAACCACCTACCTCCAAGCATGCAGATACAATATCAAACACTGGCATCCCACTCAGACTCTCTGAAGCCACTGAAGGGAAAACACTCTTTTTAAACAAGGGTGTGTGGCTGTTTGCGGACAAAGTAATTGTCATCTCAGAAGGAAGCAAATTGTTGTGATGCAGAATGAATAATTAATGTTATAAGCAACTGCCAACCTGGTCTGACTATAAATTCTACTGAAGAGCATGGTATAAATGGCTGCAATGGACTGGTGGACATGAAAGTAAGCAGACACCCTAAAAACAGGTTGTATAACTTATCTTTTTTCCTGTTTAGCAAGGGGAGATTTTTATACTTGCATTCAGCCTGCTTTATACTCATAAAGCAGTGCACAGTTGATTAGTGCTGGTCCCTGAGCAGACCACTGGTGCAGTTAGAGGAGAATGTCTTGCTCAGGGGCACCTCACCAGCAGTTGTTCATTAAGGGAGGAGTGCTACTCATTTATTCCCTCCCTGAGATGTTCTCATTAAGTCCAGGAAATCAAGCTGGCGATGATTGCAAGTTCACTTCTCTCGCTTTCTGATTACCACAGCCACATCTGTACTTTACCCTGTGATTATCAATACTTCAAGTTAGTTTTCTAACATTTTATCAAGGTACAAAATTATTCAATATTAGAGGCACATGTTACTGTACTGTGCATCTTCTTATTTGGATGGACCAAATGATTATGTGCAGACAATTCTATAGGTTACTTAATATGTGAAATATAAATATTAGAGCATAATATTCAAAACCAGCATCACCTCCAAGTATAGTGCGTGGAGGTGATGCACTGAAGCTTTGGGGTATACATATGTATTTATTATAAACCGGAGTACTGCTATCAAGCATAAAATCACTTGTCCAAATATTCTTCAAAGATAAATGTGAAGAACTAACCAGTGCCAACAGGTATACGAGTGCAGGTGCCTACAGTGATTAGCTGTATTACTGTAAGCTAATGCTGTGGTTGTTTCTATCATTTGCTAATGTTCACTGATTGTACAAACAAAACGACTAGGGAAGCTGCAAACAAATGATTAAAAACTACTGGAAATGGATAGCTAGACAATTTAATGTGATAACCAGAAATTCTGTACTGAGTAGGGAGATGCGATTAGCTTTAGATGTGAGCTTCTACTACCTTAACTACTGTAAATACAACTTATCTTCAGGCTAGCACAGGCTTAGGGAATCACAGCTGAGAGCTTTGTGTATAATTCAAGGCCCTTAGAGCAGGAGAAAACATTTTTAAGAAGTACAAAGCACATGCACCGTTAACAGCAAGTTTTCTTCAAGTTTATTTGATTGGATTTGTGTGGTAGCGGTGTATCAATTATTGTATTCATTGCTGTTGTCTGTCAACAACCATGTAGCTCTGTTTTGAGTATTGCAACAGAGATGATGTTATTTTTGTGCCCCCAATTTTGGTACTGTCTGTGTGTTTGTAGCTTACCTTGTCAGTGAAATGCAAACTGTCCCACAACGACAGGTGCTGCCGAATGACAACAGGCTGGTACGCTCTCCTCTCTTGAAGAGGGGGCAGGTCAGGAAGAGGCTGGGCTGAAAAATGAGGAGGAAAATAAGGGAGGCATACAAGTTCATCTTCACTTTCTGTACATTTTATTTACCAAGGGTCCAAAATTACATGATTTTGAACATGAAAAATAGAAACACATCTAGTGTATGTCAACTTAAAAACACAATAATAAATAAAAATCTATACTTTGAGGCCTTCGGAAATTCAGTCAGATAGACTAGCCTATGGATGCAGAGAAGGGTCTTAGGGATAGAGATCTTTGATCTTCAGGAAATCATTGCATCAAGCGAGCCAGTTGGGGTGGTTAGCATCTGATTAAGATGTCTCCTAGGCATGTCCCACTGGAGGTTTCCTGGACATGTCCAATTGGTAGGAGGCCCAAGGGAAGACCCAGAATACAGAAGAGGAATTATATACCTCATCTGGCCTGGGAATGCCTTGGGAACCCCCAGGAGGAGCTGGAAAACATTAATGGGGAGAGGGATGTCTGGATCGCCCTACTTTTTTTTGTTTACCAATGGCATAAAGTTTGACCTGAAGTATTTAAACAAGTAGCAATTAGACCCCTTTCTCCACAGAGCTTTAAGGACACTAGCAGGTTACAGCACTGCAGCCTGACATTCCCATTCTGCATTATTTTGTAAAAGTCCTCATATTCTCAGCCTGTGAATCACTCAATCATAAAAACATCCTGCCCATTGGTTCTTTGGAAACTGCTTTTAAGGCTCCTTGGGTGAGCCATTTGCTCTCCACAGCAGCATCCAGTTTGCACTCCATGTTACAAGACAGTCTCTTTACAACGATTAACAGTGTTGTCCAGGTCCTCTAACTGCTTTTTAAGGTGTTAAAGCATGCAGAGACACCAGCAGTCCCTCTGGAAAAGGCTCAACAGCATTTCCTTATCACCAAGTGGTAAAGGATGGTGAGGGCTTAAGGAAAGTTTCAACAAGAATGACCAATACCATTCACCTAAATGGCTCTCTATAACGCTTGCCTGCAAACCCTTTAGTAGGGTCTATATTGTGTCAATTATAAGAGGGGGAAGAGCATGCAATGAAATGTGAAAATGAATGAAAGGTTTCAATGGAGCTACATCAAAGATAAGAATTTTTCCCCACAACAAAGCTCATATATGTATAATCCTCTACAGAAGAGACTGTGGCAATGTGTTGCTGTAGGAGAATCACGCTGGTAGGGCACATATTTACTCATACTTGACATTTGATTTTCTTCACAGAAAATGATCAACTGACCAAGAAGTATTACTTTTCAATGTTATAATGCTTTAAGAAAGAGGGATGGCATCAATGGCAGGCTGCCAGTACTCAAACACTGTGCAGAGTCAAGTGCAGCTTGTTCAATACTGCCTGCTGGATTTTTGTAATTTGACACGTATAATGAATAATGAAAAAAAATGAATAATGAAAAATGAATAAACCCCAAAGCACAAATGTCACAAGTCTATTTAAAAGCCATGTTGTTGTCAAATATCAATGTCAGACCTTTGACAGATCAGCCTGAATCCATGCCTTGTTATGCAAAAACACTATGGGGCAAAGAATAACTGGCACAATGTACATAATTAGACAACTCAACAACAATAAAACATCAAGCTGATCTAATTAAAGAATCGGGTCATGTGTTTGTGGTTGCTGAAGAACACAGAGCCCTCTCAGATGTGCTCTCATATCCAGGCCACTGCTCATTGTTCAGCAGACTACAAAACATAGGGGTGAATCACGCACAGGCAGCCTTTCAAACAAACAATCTTCAGTCACCACAGCCCTGGGTGAATCATTGCTTTCTTTTGCTGAATTCAGTCACAGTTTGCCAAAAGCTGGCCACAAAACACTTGAGGCTTCTGCCCCCTACCACAAAACCCTTATTTTACAAATAGAGAAAGCTGCATAAGCAATAAACATGATACAAGGCCTAGTTTGTAATTACAACACTGGGTGGTAATTGAGGGTCTTTGTGCATGTGTGAGATTTCTGCCCAAGTCAAACACGCACAAACCCATATCTAATCCATTCGTGTAATAAATGCAAAATTACCCTGCTTTAGCCAATAGAGAACAGGTTCTACAAGTAGAATTAACTAAAGTGGGGAGGTGAAAGGAAAGGCGAGAGAAAAAGAAGATGTGGGGCCTGTCGCAGCAACAACACACAACACTCACTGTGGTAGTAGCTGAATAAATTCCTCAGAAGACGGTACTTGGTGGTGTAATCCCCAGCCTCGGATAATGGAGCATCGTAATCTGAAAGATAATGCGCTATCAGAACAGCAGGCTCGGGAGCCACAGAGAGGCAGGCATGCCTCTTACCATGGCAGATGCTTTCACTGTGCTCCCCTATCAAACATCTTGAGACAGCGGTGAGCCAAGACACATTTTGGGTTATCTTGACAGAAATTGGAGGCTTTTTGAAGCAAAAAGGTAAAATGCATTCAGAGGAGCAAACACAGGTATGAAGAGCGTTGAAGGTCAGAGGTGGTCTCCCGTACCGCAGAGTGGTTTTCAGGATTCTGCTCTTCTCTGGAGAACGAGGTCATTACAATGTTAAGCACCCTAGAGAAGGATATAAAACCCATTGTAGCTTCTTTAATTTACATCTCCCGTGCATTTTTTAGCTAGTGAAATCATCAGCGTGCACTGCATAGTCAAATTTAAGAGCAGCTGAAGAGTACAGATAGCGCCATCTACAGATAATTAAAATTTCCTAATCATGTTTTATTTGACTGCTATTGTTCAAATTTGTACAACTGGTTCAGTGAAAGAGAGAGCCTCAGACTATTTCGATGAGGTTATTCATTGATGATGCAATGTCAAACAATATTTTTACATATTCTTATTGGATTGTTTCAGCCTACTCTAATGCAAGGTCGCTGGGCTTTGCATAATCGTGGATATGTACCTGTAGAAAAAAACAGAAAATATACACCACTATTAATTTAAAAGGTAAAAGATGTCAGAGCTCTACTTGGTATAAAATGCCAAACTGAATAAGTAAGTCTTAAGTTTTGTTTTAAAAAGAGATTGGTCAGAAATGGATCAAATCTATGGCGGTAAGGCATTCCACAATTTGAAAGCAACCACAGCAAAAGCCCCATCACCTCAGTGTTTACACCTCGATCCCAGGACACCCATTAAGATGAGATAAGAAATTGAGATCTACCCAGTATAAACACGTTTTGTTTATTGCAATGTTACAAAAATGCTGGTGATAAACAGATTCATTGCACATACCGTAACTTGTTACCATAGGTTTAGGGGCTGGAATTCCAACAGCAAACGCCCCGTTCATGAAGCCAAAATTTGTCCCTCCGTGGAACATGTAAAGATTGATGGACATATCTAGTTTTAGAATTTCTGTGACCACAGGTATCATGTCTGTCAAAAAAAAGAAAAACAAATCCCATTAAATTCACAAAGTATATAATTTATCACAATAGGTCTGATATGAACAGTGAGTAAAGCAAGGAATAACAAATACAGAGCTAAACAATAAAACCCAGGGAGTAGCAAAAACGAAAATAAAATCCATTTGACTTCAGCTTTAACAAGCCAGATCTAGTGTTTCAATAATCTCATTGCCCTCAATTCCCCTTCAGTTGAAACATGACTGGACCTTAGCCACATATTCTATTACAGGTTACTATAATTCATTATGGGGCAACGCTCACCCAAAAAAAAAATTACCAACCTCTCTGCACAAATTAGCTACCTATATTCAGCAACGACCATAGCAGAGCAAGTAATTAAGTATTCAAATTGGACTTTAGCCGTCAAATTGGACTGACTTTAATGATTTGAATCAAGGGCATGAGCCTTAATGAATAACAATCGAACAGAGTGAGTGACAGAGTCGGACTCTGTTGGTTTCATGGCGGTGGCACTAGATGTGACCAACTGCTGTGTGTGTTGCAGTCTGCAGAGCACTCAACTGTCAAGGACATGAATCCCCTCTGAATATTCTGGCATTTATTTCATAGCTGTGACACTTTCTGCATAGTGAGGGTCTCTTTTACCCCCTTTCCACTGAGGAGAAAATACACAAGGAAGCAAGACTGGTGGCCCTTTCATTTTCAGAATATTTTTTTGCTAAGATGTGAGTGGCTGCTGGGAATGACAGGGAGTAAAAACGAAGCTTGAGGCTCTGCACCGTGTTGAAGTAAGATGTTTCTGAAAGCACTCAAGATGGCACTAGCAGGCATGTGTGACAGCCATAAGTCCCTACAAATTTGAAATAAGTGCTATAATTTATGTCATGACTGTACATTAAAATATGGCCCTCCTGGCTGTAGCATATGGGTCATGGGTATTTGACTTTTTACATGGAAAGGCCTATGTAATTTGGCAACAATTATTATGGGAATGGAATCAAAGTGTTACTACAGTTCTACTTGAGCTAAATACTAGGAAATTAAGTAAGTTAAAAATAGTTCATAAAGAGTGTTGATATTTACTCGAGTATTTTAAAAAGACGAACAAAAATTCTTAATTTCAACTCTTCATGACTATGGACCCCATACATGATAAAGCAGATCTATTATGTGTAAATAATTATTAAATTACCTGTTAATTGCCAGAAATGCCTCTACAGAATTGTTGCTTTAGCAATTTGAGAGACCAAAGTGCCCAACAGTACATACAAAAAGTTAAAACTAGCTCTACCTCGAGCAGCTACAACACTATAGTGCTCCTTATACTTTAATGCATGAACAATTACAATACAATAATATGATGTATACAGTGTGTAACACTGTGAAATGGGCCTACCACATTTTTACTTCTGATACTTTTAAGTACATTTAGCTGAAAATAATAACTGCATTTTTACTTGAGTCAGAACTTGAATGCATGGCTTATATTTGTAATGGTGTATTTTTATATTGTTGTATTAAACTCTATAGGTTATCTTTTAAACCTTGTGTCACATCACGTCATGTAGCCTGTGACTTACTAGACAATGTAGCATAAAGATAACTAATGGAAAAGCAAACAATATGTTCCCATTGACTGAAATGTCATTTAACGCAGCCAAGAACAAGACAATCCCAGTGTGTATGTGGATACAGAGGACGTGGAAGGGCATGAGACAAATGTGACTCACACACTGGTTTGTGGCGCTTGGCTTCCACAAGAAAGAAATCACCATATGCTAAGCTGTACATCGCAGTTGCACTAAGTGGCCTCTGTGCCTGTTGTGAAGAAACTATGGTGTTAGTCTCACACTTAATTTATTTTACAAAACTCCCAAAGCAGTGAGTTTGTCCTTACCCGGTCTTTGTCTCAGCACAGAGACTATTTCATTCTCAGCTGAAAAGGTCTGTCTCAAGCCTTTCTTACCCTAAGGCACCACAACTCTGTCTTATCCACAAGACTGTCAGTTTTGCCTTCAGAGATTCTCTATTGACTCACAGAACAACACCTGTCTTACCCCAGTCTCAAATTAGCCAGTACTATCGACCCTCTGTGCAGAGAGACACTGTTTTCCCCTCAACAAAGAATCCATCAGCAGAAATCCTGTTTTACCCTCTTGTGAGCACCTGTCTTACAGTGATCCTGTATGCATCTACAAAGAAAGCCTGCCTACCCATCTAAGTGGTTGCTGTGTATGTAAAAACAACATCTTACCCTCAGCTGTATACACATGATGAAGATTTCCCCAAAGATCAAACCAGCCAGACCAGTACTCCATCACCATCTTAGGTTTCTGAGGCTAGTGGAAGAAAAATAAAAAGGTTTGGTTTTGGAAAGCAACACAAACTAAGCAAAGCTAAATACGTGTGAATGACTTTACAAATTATTTAACTATACAGTGCTCACTGGTACCACAAACCTTGACTAAACCATTTTATGGATTTCTGCAGGTCTCCCTTTTTGGCCCATTCCCATTTATTATCTTTACCCCTACCCCTTGTTTTTGAGTTAACCCTCAAAACATGAGTAGTGGTTGAAAGATTCCTCTGGGACTAATGGGACAACCCTTTGTTAATGATGATGGTTGAGTAAATAGATTTGAAAAAAGTTGTTGTGGAAATTATGAATCACACAATGCCATCTCCAGCTGTTGTGATTTCTCTTGTGTTGCCTATGGGCATCAGTTTGCAATGTTCAACAACAAATGACAAACGTGGAAGGATAGGAATATGTTTTTGACACCAGGGAATATTGCTGGGTTTGTTTGAGGTGTTTAGCATTGACCACAGGTAACTTTTGTTGCAGTTAGCCTCATACCACTCAATTTTGAGTCTGAAAACCCTCCGGATGAAGGGCTACTGCATGCAGCCCTACCTCTTCATTCTACCCCTGCATCCTAAAGAGAACCGAGACACCCCTACCACTACATGTGAATGTGCAAAACAAATGGGTAGGGCCAAGTGGTAGGGGCAAGGGATGAATTGGGATTTGGCCATGATCTCCCTCCATAGAGGTAAGCAGCGCTACATTGTGATTTAGCTTTACATGGACAGTCTATTAATTGGGAAGCTGAAAGACTGCTAATGCTGTGTATATCTACTTTAGAATTGGATTAGAAAAGTAATAACAGCCTATTCAAAAACCTACAAACACATCCATTATGAAAAAAATAAGACCTATTGACGGTGGCACACTCACTTGTATTTCATCCAGATACTTGATGTCATCCAGATTCAGCTTTTGAAAATTGATCCTTTCTAGGGCTTCAAACAAAAAAAACAAAAAAAAGGGTCACATTATGTGTTTAAAAAAAAAACTCAAAAAGTGACTAATGCTTCTGTATTATTATTGGGTCCATATATCACCAGTAGTGTCAGTACTGTATGTAACCAAATTCTATATTAATTCACAGAGTTAAAAGGCTCTAATGGAAGCTTCTGTATGACTGAGAATTGTTCACACTGTACTGTATATGCAAATCAGGGTTATGAAATACAATTTAAAAAAATGTCAATCCATGGTTTGTAGTATCAATACATACAAAAGTACTCAAAATCTCAGAGTTATCCTTCTATGGCTTTTAATAACGGTTACTAGTTTGTGTGTTTGTTAAATCAGTGCATACACAAAATAAGAGAAAACAACTAAGATAACATTTATGCCAGTGCACATCAAAAAAGAGCAATTTGATACAACAATACACTGAATCCTTTGTGTGGAGCTGCCTGACACTGGGCCACCCTTGGCTCTGACCTCTTGTCATTTTATGTGTAAACAAAACACACCAACCACCATATTGCGTATGTGTGCATTTGTTGGGGTGTGTGTTTGTCATTGTATCTGACAATACCTCCTTTCACTCCTCCAAGCTTTAGTCCTTCCTTGTTGTCTGAGGTCAGCAGAAGCTCTGTGATGCCCCTTGACAACAATGCCTGAAGGAGGAGGAGGATTAAGGAGGAAACTAAACAAACCACTGGAAGTACTTTCTGAAAAATAATTGTTGCATTTTACTGAAATTTTTTTTAAATTACAATTTCTCTACTAACCTCTTTGATGAAAGACATGTATTCTTTATCTTTTGCATAGGAACCATATTCATTCTCCACTTGAACTGCGATAATTGGGCCACCCTTGGAGTACTGCGCATTCATTAGCCAATGAATAGAGGACACATATTACGGTTTGGCACCAGCTTTTCAACATTCCTACCTATCCTCAATACAGCCATACTTTAAAAACACAATGAAATGGAAATTAAGGGTTGCTCAATGATCCATGAAGCTGATAAAAATAAAATATGGCCTGGAAGACACAATTTGAACAACTCAAGTGTGCACGGTGCATTGTATTGCTAACAGTGGGCACCATATGTTAAATGAAATGGCTGTTCTCTGTTTGAGAATGTGTGTATTTTTGTATCGTTGCATGTATGTGTTTAACATTTGTGTACGTTTTAAATTTTGACTGCAATAAAGTCTAAAGCACCTGATAGGGAACAACTTTCTTGATGAGCTGATCAAAGAAGGAGTTGACCGCATCAGTGAATCCAGAGTAGGTTGTCCTCAGTCTCATGCTTTGATCCCGTAATAGCCAACTGGGAAAAAAAAAAAAAAAATTAAACAACAACTCACAAAACCTTTACACTGTCTGAAGAGTAATATATCACACAGGTTCTTCAAAGTGCTATGCTGGAACCTCTGTGGGTTATAGATAATTGCAACAACCTAAGCATGACTATCATAAAATGCTGTGAAGAGGAAGTCATGCTTCACTGCATGCCCCTAGAAAGACTCAGTTTTGATGATTATCAAATAAATATTACCTCAACCTCACAATCCCAGAGGGCAAAACTGCTCCAAAAATACCTACTTCCAGTCCTTTACCCCCCCTCAAACATTTATCCCGTTATCAGTCTGAATTTATTTTTGATTACAGAACTAAATTAATTCAGCCTTTTTGGTGATGTGCCTGTCAGATTTAATTACTCTAATACCTCACCAAAACTCTGGTGAATCACCAGTAACCTTCGTATAAGTAACAGGGGTGGTCTTATACTAGACATAAAGCCCTGTTGTCCTTGTATGCTGTACGTGTAAACATCTGCAAGTTGGCTCCATCTCACCAAGACCAATTCTTTGTATGTGGCACACATCTGATAAAACTGCAGCACACTTTAAAACATTAAAAAGCTAAACTATGAATTATTTCCAAGAGTTTAATTCATTTAACCACAAGCAACGATACTGCTAACAAACAGATTGGCTGACCGAACAATCCATTTCCAAGCCAATTTAAGAGATCAACTCAGCACCCCACTGGCAAATATTAAACAATGCATTCCAGTGTTACTATAGATACATATGTGCAAAGGAAGAGTAAATGGTGGCTCAGTGGTTTTTACCTGGGCAGTCCCCCTAAATCCCACTCAGCACAGATGTACGGCCCTGGACGCAGAATCACCCAGAGACCCAAGCTGGCTGCAAGGCGGAGGTAGGCTCTAATAGAAGGATGCAAAATGTGTTGTCAGTTGATTTAAAATGTTCAACAGCCAAATTGCAAACAGATAATCATTCTCAATTTAAATGTAGAATAAAGCAGATGTTTAATTGCAAATGGCATATCATTCATTGTAAAATATTTCAATTTATCTTTCATTTTCAGATCACACAGTTTCCAGCACTAGACGACAGCAATCAAGACATTTGATGGATCAATGAAATTGTTATCAATAAATCAACAGTCACTGATGCTGACAGTGAACAAATGATTAATCACAAGCATTTCTGAAGGTTGAATATACACATTCTCTGCAATATCAAATGACTCATGACTGTGGAAAGTTAAGGCTTTTTGCAGAGCAACAGTGCCATCTGCAGGAGTTCATTTGCTCTTCAATAGAATTCCCTGCAAGTCTCCTTCCATTGCTCCTTACTCCAAATCCAGCTGACCGTCAAAGCTGAACACCCCTCGCTCGGGCTCATGTAGGTTCCATGGCACATACCTGAAAAAATAAATAAAACTGGCTATTTTATGTGCATTTTTTATCGTAATGGATTTTGGTGGGGTTTTTTATGACTGTGACTCATGAATTTTGTCAGCTGTACTTTGCTTTACTCTGATTTGTGTATAATCTTCTCCAGCAGAACAACTATTCTAGTGTATTGATGTTTGGCATATTGAACAAATTGTTAGTTGCAGGGGGAGCCTACGTTGTGACAGTGTTGAGGCCACAGGCCTTCATCTTCAGCAGACGGTCCTCCCAGTAGGTCCTGGGGACACGGAAGTAATGGATGGAGCCTCCAAGAATGCGGAAAGGTTTTGTCTCCAGAGTGAACTGTGATGAGTCAGCCCTGAGACCCTCCAAATGGCTCATTTTTATTACATCAGTATGATTCCTAAAAGGCAAAATATATTTCACAACTGAAACAGAACTTGTTCAACTAATGATGTCAAGAGGGCTATGAAGACATATAAAATACAGCCAGGTGACGTATTATAGGAAAAGCCAACATCGAGTGTCTCAGTAAGGTGTTGGACCAGAACAGCTCTGGTGTACTTTGACATTGATTTTCCAAATCTCTGAACTCTACTGGAGGGATCAACACCATTCTTCCAAAAGTATTCCCTCATTTGGTGTTTTGATGATGGTGGTGGAGATGTCTAACAAATTCGTCCAAAATCACCCATAGGTGTTCAACTGGGTTGAGATCTAGTGACTATGAAGTCCATAGCATATAAACCACATAATATTCATATTCATCAAACCATTCAGTGACCCTAGTCATGCACTATGGATGAGAGCATTCTCATCCTGGAAAAGACCAATCATTTATTCAGTTATTCCTGAAATTTGTCACCTGTCTGTATAGTTCTGTGATAGAAAGTAAGGTTGTGGATGAAAAGTCACTTTAAGCAAAATATTAAAGCCCAGCTGAATGGGTTTAATCTCCTTCATGACTTGGCAGCAAAAGCAACCTGTTAATCTGGCTGTGCCTGTCATGTGTTATCACTGCATTTGAATGTAATTATAATGGGAGTTGCACAGCCTGGGACAATGGTGCGTCCTTGCCTCAGTTTGCAAGGTTCACTTACGACAGACTGTCCTGAAATCAATGTATCATATGTTGCAGAGTTCTCTTCTACACGTTTATGTACATAATACATCGGAACAACAGGACAAACTAAGGCCTAGCACAATGACAAGTAGCTGCTCTTGTTATGTGATTGTGTTCAGTGTCCTCAGGGCATCAGATGAACCAGATAAAAGTTCCCAGGTTGGTTGGTTTGCAACAGAGAAGAGTCGTAACTTCTGAACGGAGACAGTAATATAGCCACGCAAACACATGACACAGATCAGGAGCCACAGGCAGAAGCTTGACCACAACTAACAGCTGTTAACGTTTCAGGTTTCAGTGGATTCATCCAGAGATTCGTCTTGACTTATTACAAGGAGATGGCGACTTCGTCAGCTGTTTGCCTTACCTTGTAAACTGATAAGCAATTATGGTTCCGACAACAATACAAATCAGAAGCAAATATCTTTGCTTTAGGGACAGACGGACACCAGATAATGATGATCTTTCCATCGGCAACAACACCACGACAGCTGCGCCGTGTGCGTTTTTGTGCTTATCCTCGCGTTTTTCCTTTCAGATCCGGTCCACCGACAAGACAGCCGTCAACTATACTGATCCACTTCCGAAAAAAATGACAATTAACGGATAGCCAATGCAGTTGAGCTACCCCATATTCACATATGATCTTCGTACTTCCGGCACTAAGTGAAAGTTGTGTCCAGAAATAAACACACACCCATCAAGGCTGCTGCGATCCGTGTATAGGGACCGTCACAAGCCTGAAAAGAAGGCGGAACTTTAATTAATTGAATCAATGTGTTCTTTTTCCTTTTAAGAGGAATGCAATAAGTAAGAATACTAAAATGGTTTCCATTGCATTTCCCAAGTTCCCATTTCCCCAACAGAGACCTGCTTTTTTAGTCTCAGTGGAAAGGACGCAGACAGTCCGCTTCAGGTGGCACCTATACAGAATTCTTAGATTAAAGTCAGAATCTAAAAATATATATATTATGTAGTGGCCCTAATACTCTTCTGCAGAATGAAGTATGTGACAGGACTAAATAAAGTTTTTGAATATTGCCGATGATCTTTTTTGACTCAAACATTACTGCCTCCTGTAGATGGACATAAGAAACGTCTTTAGAGGAGGCCCAGACCTTTGCTGTCAGTTTGTTTCCGTGCATTAAGCTATAGTTCTGAAACTGAATACAGTTACTGTCAAAAAAGGTAACTTCTGTTGGTATCATCTCTGTACTTTAGTGAAAGCGTGGAGAAGTTGGGGGGACTGATTGACAGAGAATAATCTAAGATGCTTTGTTGGGTAGTTAATTCATTTTGTAAGCAAAAATGTCAAGGACATCTTTCTCAGTTTCAGCTTCACATATGTTAATATATGCTGGTTTTCTTAGACTTTTATGATAAACTAAACAATGTCAAACTTCTTTCAGTCAGGGCAGCGATGGCGCAGTGGTTTTGGTATGATTTTGGATACAGATCATTAATATTACACATGGCCAAAGACGTGGAATTAACAACAGCCATGACTGGAAACAAAAATAAACAACCAGCATGAGGTAATTGTTCCCCTTGTAAGACACAAGTTCATTACAGAAACATTCATAAACACATATATCGGAATACATCACTTCCTAATCAAATACTAATACTTCCTAATACTAATCAATGAACACTACAAATCA